CTGTTATATGCCCAAGGCTCAATTAGCTGACATGGAGACGATTTAAAGCTGTTTGTTTATTTTCAAGGCCAGCTTTTGTTTGGCTATTGTCACAGGGTGCAGGTGCCCACGGCAAATAGTCATCTGTTGCTTGGCTTTATCGTAAAGAACAGAGGGTTAGCCAAAGATTTGACTGTGCAGTTGCCTAATATGACACTTTACATTTTTCATTTTGCACCACATGCAAATCATTCTCACTCCTTTTTTTTTATTCTCGTTGATGCCTTTCTAGATTCATTCTGTAATATAAGATACACACTTTTGTTATCGTAATGCGTATGGTGTGTATATTAGAACACTATGCTCTCGGTCAGCCAGGTCTTTTGCTTTGTAAATTCTAGCCATCATCGTAACCCTCTGTACTCTTCTTTAAAGTTTCCTATGATGGCGTGAGCTTCAGGCTGCCTCAGCGCAGACATTCACCCCACAGTGCATTAAACTGACTCTATTATTGGGGATCTTTGTGGTTTGATACAAAGAAAAATATTTTTTGGTGCTAGGCTCTAGAATATGATAAATTCATTTTCATATTCTAGAGCCTAGCACCAAAAAATATTTTTCTTTTTTCTTGATTAAATTCCAGAAAGTACCAACAAATATTTGTTTCTTCTAAAAAAACAAAGAGGAGGACAATAGCAGTGTTAACTCACCATATACGAAATGAGGATTGTGACAAAACCTTGAGAGGCAATGGTGCGTTCAAGCCATGTCGGAAAGACTGTGTTTACGAGTTAAATGTGCATGAACGAAACCACAAAGTGGGGAATGCAGGATTATGTCGAGTTTCTGAGTTGGGGTGTGTCAATTTAAAAAATGGAAGACAAAAAGATGCAGTTTCTGTACTGAGGTCGTTCATGTAGAACTGTTTTTGCATTTCACTGCGTTGCTTTTCAACTTGCGCAATGTGGATGCCTTTGACCACTGGGTTTGAATTTGGCATCTTTTGCAGAGGAGATGATTTTACAAAAGGAGATGTATTGTAGTATGTACAAGTTGCTCGTTTCCATACAAAAAAAGTAAATAGGGATGGACACTATGAATCTTAGAATTGTAACAGAAAATCGATAAATGTATATTGAGCTATATTCTCTGGTCACTGTATGTGACCAGCATGGCATTTATTTTTTGTAGTCATATGGGTTTGAAACAACACGACACAAAAATGATGACCACATTGCCATAGATGAAATATCCCTTGTAATTGACATTTTTAAAAATAAGCATATATTGGCAAATTTGATCAGTCGGGTAGTAATGCTACGTTTGTGTTGAAATATTTGAAACACTTTTTTTGTCACAGATAATTAGGCTTGTGTTAAGTCCTTTGTTTTTAGATTGCTGTCTTAATGGTTTGTGTTAACCTTCAATTTTGAGATCTTTTGTAATGGCACAGTACCATAATAATACCGCAGTAATGTGCAAAGAAATTCTCTCTAGCTGCCTTCCATTCATTTGCGTACTGCATTTTATTGTGGACTCTGTTTCAAATAGTACACTTAGCTCAGCTATCTTGATTCAGTGCTGTCTGGAGATAAGTAGACCCTTCAATGCCCTTCAGTTGTCAGTTGTAAACCATGTACCTTTCCAGTGTTATTTTGTCATACTCATGGTTCTCCATTGAGAAAAGGTCTATGATAGAGGCATGACCAAGGCGGTCATGGTTATTTTATGCCATCTATCTGACCGAGAGCTCTTTCTACACTTTAATTACTTTATCAGTAGAGTCAGTTGCGCTCCCCTGTGGAAAGTTTCCATACCCCCTGCCTCCCCAACCGTGTGGAAAGGCCGGATTAATAGGCTTTAGAGTGATTTGATGTGAAAGGCTTTGAAATACCTTGTGTTGCGACAAAAAACACAATGTCAAGCCTCTACCTCCCATTCTCCCCCCGTTCCTCTTTTCATTAGTTTAGCCATGACATTTCAGATTAATGTCGTTCCTGAAACACCCGTAACATGCCACACTTAATCACTCACATCAGGGTGTTCCATCAAGGTCCCTTTTTGAAAAGCTCACAGCAGACTTTTTCCATATCGCTTAAACTATGGTGATCTGAAAACATGTCCCTGGTGGGAAAAGGCCTTTCAGTCAGCAAGCCCTGCGCGCAGTCCAATTATTGTTAAACCCGAAATAGCTCTAGCGTTAAGGAGTGGGAAATGCTTATTAACACCTTTTTAACAAGACTTGTGTATAGAATGCACCTTGTTCGGTTTTTGTCAGTGATGGATTCAGTTCCTTATGGAGTTGGTTCTTCATCAAAGGGCTCTCAGTGGAGTGTACTGTGCAGTAATTCTGAAGACGGCCTTTGGCTCGCTTTCGTGTTCTGAATCCGCTAGCCAGCCCTGTGCTGTGGCATAAGTGCCCTGCATGAGCACACGGCCTCTCTAAACTGAGGGGGGTGCTCTGAAGAGCAGATGCCAGATCGTGACTGAGCACGAGCAGATTGTACCATTAATCACGGCACCATCCAGTTCAGATGGAAGCTGCGTTATGTTGGAGCTCAGGTACACTACGTTAGTTATGTAGCCTATATAAATAGTCAGCTGAACCCGGCTGCGTCATGTATGTAGCAGTGAGCAAGTTGCTTCTCTAACTGTGTGGGTGTGTTATTCCTTGGGAGGCCTTTTGTTTAAAACATTCAAAAAGGTGGTATATTTGGTGTTAATGCCAACAGTAGTTTTGAAAAACCTGATTAGTCTAAATTAAGACTAACCGGGCTGATTGAATGGGCATGAAATTCACACACAATTCTGGCATGGAATGTGTACGAATGCAATGCATAACACATTCTCAGCGGTGTAACAAGGGCTGCTGTACTGTTCCAGTTCAGATGGAAGCTGCGTTATGTTGGAGCTCAGGTACACTACGTTAGTTATGTAGCCTATATAAATAGTCAGCTGAACCCGGCTGCGTCATGTATGTAGCAGTGAGCAAGTTGCTTCTCTAACTGTGTGGGTGTGTTATTCCTTGGGAGGCCTTTTGTTTAAAACATTCAAAAAGGTGGTATATTTGGTGTTAATGCCAACAGTAGTTTTGAAAAACCTGATTAGTCTAAATTAAGACTAACCGGGCTGATTGAATGGGCACGAAATTCACACACAATTCTGGCATGAAATGTGTACGAATGCAATGCATAACACATTCTCAGCGGTGTAACAAGGGCTGCTGTACTGTAAAGTGTTATGTTTTTCTATGTAAACGTACTAGATGGACATGTTTGATTGTTGTGCTCCAACGGCATTCTAAAAACTCAAGATAAAAATAGTTTAACTTAAAAAAACGTGTGTCTAGACCGTGTGGTTTTTCCATTCCACTGCCCTGCATCTCACATTCTACGTGAACACCTCTCATTTAAAGTGAAAATGAAGTTTGATGTTTTTGGAACCAATTGAACCCCATTGACTTTGATTGAAAGACAAATTCTGTTCTTCAAAGAACAACAATTTTTGCAAATGTTCTTCAAGATATCTTTTGAGTTTCACAGAAGAAAATGAGTCACACAGATTTAGAACTACACAAGGAAGAGGATCTTTGTTTTGTAGTGAACCATCCCTGTATTGGCGCAGACATTTGAAGGTAATTCTATCGCCTCCTTAAGTGCTGCTGAGGTTTGTTACCGTTATGGTAACGCAAGAGCGCACATCAAGTATGTATGATAGGATTGCACTCTTGTAATGCTTTGGTCAGGCATTTGCGTCTATGTTGACGTACTTGCATAGAATGTGTTTCTGACCTTCAAAAAACAGGAAGACCTAGATTCTGTTATTGTTTGCTTTTGTTGGACAATAGAATGAAGAGTCTTGAGCCTGAGGTGTGTGTTTAATGCAAGTCTCAGTTTTGAGATCAGATGACCTCTAGTCCAGTTTAAACACATGATTGTGCTGAATCATCAGGTAAAGGGGAATGTCCTAATCCATTTAAAGTATGAACTCTCTTTATCATTTTTCAGCCTTGATCATCCAAAAGTTATCTGTTGCAGTCTTTATATAATCATTTTTTTTTAGTAATCCAATAATAGATTGTCTGGTACAGCATGGCGTTAGTATTGCCAAAACCATGAGTTAAGTTTGCAGGTATCACATGCACTGAAAGTCACTTTGGCTAATGGCAAATGCTTATATGCAACTGTTAAAATTATTATGATCTAGGTAAGAATATGTTTCAAGCTTTGTTTTTTAGGTTCCTTTTTAGCCATTTGTCACGCAAATAGTTAAATTCAGGCATTATCTCTGTTAAATATGAGTTTGCAGCCTTTAAAAAAAAAAAAAAATGACAGAAACCCTTCAGTGTTGCACATGGTTTGAGTTAACTTTATTTTGTTGGTCATTGGTATCTCTGGGTTTGTATTGTTGGGTTACGTCATTGTCAAGTTGAATCTGCATTGCAAGTGTCTTTTATCAAGCGTTGTGCTTTCTCTGCCAGTTTTTTCAGCCTTTGTGTTTATAAATTATGTCAATCATTAGACCTGTCACATTAGACATTAGCCTCATGATCCAGAGGTCAAGTCAGTAGCGAGCACCAAATTAGATTTATATTTTGGTCTAGAGCCTCTGTTGAACCTTTCATTTGTGACTTCCTTTCAACAGGATATAGTTTTTGAGAGAAACAAAAGCACAACAGCTTGAACTCTATTGTAGATGAAAGGGATACCCCTGCAGAGCCGAGGGATATGAGAAATGCCATCATAGTTGTTTTTTTCTTGATACCCATCCTCCTTTTCTCCCCTCACAGGACCGTCCCCGTTCATTTGATGGCTTCAACATGCATTCTCTGGAGAACTCCCTGATTGACATCATGAGGGCCGAGCAAGACACTCTGAAAGGTAAGATAAGAGTCCACGAAAGGAGATTGTGTCAAAGTACCATATTGATGGCCAAAAACCTTTGACCCATCAGCAGTTAGATTCATGCGGCCGCTCACATGGTTTAAGTTGCATTGCTCTCTCTGTAATCAAATGAAAGCTGTAGCTGGTTTGTACTCTAGTAAGGGGTCATTCACACAGAACGTGCTTTTTCATTCTACTGCACTGCTTTTGAATTGGATTTGTGTCTTGTTTCTTTTGCAGAATCATATGCATGACAGTGTTCTAAAAATGTAGTGCTCGATTTACTAAAGTAGTTGGTAGTTAAACTTTTAAAACTTGTTTTTTTTTTATTTCACTGCCCTGCATTTACCATTTTTGAATGCAGAAACATGTTCCGTGGAAATGGCCCCTAATATCATCATGAGTTTGTTTGATTTGATGGAGCTCCTGTTCTGTGACCAGTGTCTAATTTATTTATTTATTTTTTTTTTTTTCTTTGAAAGTTGGTTGGTTATTGCATCACTTTTGTATTCCTTTTTTACGGCAGCTGACAACTAATCACAAGGCACGGTCCTGGAGGCCCCACCTTTGATAGCAGTTGTAAATGCATGCAAATGACAGTTAAGGAGCCCATGGCATTATTCCATGCATTTATTAGAGCATGTTCTGGAGCAGACCGTAGATCTAATCTTTTTTTATGGTCACTGCTGCTGGCTACGGCCGCCTGTTATTTCTCAATTGTGCCGAACAGAATTATATATTGAAAAATGTGAACGGTCATTAAAACATTTCCTTTTTGACTTTGCAGTCTTTTTACTTTGTGCTCTCCAGTGGCATTTTACACCCTGTGTTTTCTTGCATATTTTTGTAGATTTCTTTAACATCAGATGTGGTGTTACATTTTTGGTGTGAGAGTGAGCAGCTGTAAAAAGCTGCCCATTAGTGCTGAATCATTGCACACTCACATACACACACACACACACACACACACACACACACACACACAAACAGAGCAAGAAGAAAGAAAAAGCTCTGTGTTGACCTACAAATAGCTGTGTCTGTGCAGCAGAGCTTAACCAGAGCTACTTCCACAGCAGTAACTCTGAAGCTACACTAGACTTTACAAACACATCAGCCTGGTTTTGTGAGATTGTTGACTTTCATTATGTGAGCTCTCTCAAATTTGTAATCTGTGGCTCATATTAATGTTTCAGAACAAAATATGTTCCATTCTGGTTGGTTTGATTGTTTTATTTATTTATTGTCTGTCTGTCTGTCTGTCTGTCTGTCTATAAATGGTAATAAGAACTCCTGCAACTTGAAACATGAAATAAAAATTGACCCGGTTTTCTTTCTTAATTAACATTCCTGGTCTTATTCTCAATGATTCATTACTGCATTGTATAATGTAAAAAAATAAAATAAATAATAATCTCTTATGTTTATTTTTAACTGCACATTGTCATATGAACAGTCAGTACTGATTTCAGTTTCACAAACCTTGAAACCTTAAATTTTGAGATGGACAGCATTGAAAGTTCAGTAAGTGAGTCAGATGTGTATTCAGTAGTAACTGCTTTGATGGGTTCTGTGAGTTCATTCAATGAACAATTTGTCAGACTGATTTAAACCAGTAACTCGTGAGTTTGTGGGTGCTTTTGGGTGATTCCCCATAAAACCGGCTCATAAAAGTCATTTGTTTATGAATCGGATTGTACTGTTCTCTCGGTATGCTTGTTTTTGCATACAGCCCACAAGATAATTCGGTTCACTTGTTTTCTTGCTATTTTGTACATTTTCTTTTGTCTCATCACATTAATTTCAGGCTGTAAGCTCATAACTTGGGTAAAATATAATTTTGTTTTCCATAGCACTACATATTCATGCATTTCATTTTTACTTTAAACGGAAGCATTGATACACTTTCATGTTTTAGATTTCCACACATTTGGACCATGATTAATGCAACCCCAAAATGCAGTCAACTTACTGTTGATTTTTAATAAGGAACACAATGAAATCTCTGTTGGGTGGTTTCTTGAATCAAAGAATTAAAATCATTTAAGAACCAAATTAGACCAACCCTCAGAGTCAGCTTCTCTCTAGCAGAGCATAACTTCACCACCAGAACCAGAAGGGCGGCCCTGCAGACACCAGCCCAGTGTTGCAGAGATGTCCAAACAAGAGACGGGGGAAGAGAAGTAGTCCAGTGTTGCTTTGAATAGCTTCCAGCATTGTCCTTTGCCTGTAAAAGAGCTCTCTGTTCTTGCTAAAGCAACAAAATGGTGTGCTGGCCCTGGCCACCAGACTACTCTTGGAGTGAACAGTAGAAGGAAGGGGCTGCCAGAGCCATGTTAACACTACATAGAGAAACAATCCATACCAGGCGTGCTGGTTGTACTTGATGTTTCCTCTCATTCTTCTACTAGATGCAGTTGAGCATGAGAATGAAAGTAATCTGTTTCCGGGAGAGTACATTCTGACGTGAAGTGGGTGGTCATCCAAAAACAGATGTTTAACACCCAAAACCCTATAAACGCAATTTCTGATGACCGATTTGTCATCAGCCAGTCCTTGAAAGAGTAGCATGGCATTTTTAAGTATGTGCACCTTTTAAAGGGGTCATATGATGTTGCTAAAAAGAACATTATTTTGTGTATTTTGTGTAATGAAATGTGTTTATGCGGTTTAAGGTTAAAAAAACACATTATTTTCTACATACTGTACATTATTGTTTCTCCGTTATGCCCCGCCTTTCTGAAACGTGTCGATATTTTACAAAGCTCATCGGTCTGAAAAGCGAGGTGTGCTCTGATTGGCCAGCTATCCTGTGCGTTGTGATTGGCCGAATACCTCAAGCGTGTGACGGAAATGTTACGCCCCTTACAATATTGTGATGCCGTGTCCCGGAGCGACGAGACAAAAACATTAAAACTAGGGATGCACCGATAGGATCCGATACCGATTTTAACAAACACTTATTGGCCGATACCGATATTTGTCACTTCCTCTCTTATTTGAAATTTTGGCATCAAAATAGATAGTATTTTGATCATGTTTTAAATCAGCAAAGTTAAAAAACACCTGCATTAAATTATACTAGCAGTTTTATTGCTGCATCATCAAATAATTTCTAATGAACATGGATTGGCCTAACATTCAGCAGGCCTACATAAATACAACAGAACAAAGATACATATTAAATAAACTTTTAATATGCTTTTTAGGTAGGTTTAACAGTTTTCAGGTACAGAAATAAAGTAAACAAATGTAAAATAACACTTCACTGTATAAATTAAATACATATTAATCATTCTTTATTGTAACAGACTTATGACTAATCTTCTAATTTGTTTTTGTATACATTTTAATATTTTTTGTAAGTTTAAATATGTATGAGATCTCCGTTACCAAGGCGGGACTCTTATTTTGATGTGTTTTCTAGTCTATGGAGCTATATGGGTAATGAAAGCACGCAGTTCTTCGGATTTAATGTTTGTCAGTTTATTATATATTATACCTCCCGAAAAGGCATGATATCTGTATATATTTGTTTACTGTTTAAGAACTTTATACTATTTGTAAATGGAAAACACCTCATTTATACGTGTCTCTAAATTACAGAGACACTGGTTTTTATCTTTAATCAGGATCTTACTGAATTAACATTTTACTAAAATTAAAATGAATTAGAATTAAACATTTAAAGCTAAATAAGCTATTAAAGTTTGTTTACATGCATTTTACCTTGTCATGGCTGTTTTCAGGTAGAACCTTTAATGTTGTCATATCACACCAGCTCAGTGCCTTCACGCAGTTAATTAATAAACCATCGGTTTGTTATATCGGCCTTTTCCCTTATATAGCCGATGGTTGTAAATTGAGGAAAAATCGGCCGATAAATATCGACGGCCTAATTAATAGATACATTGTTGCATCGGCATCCCTAGTTAAAACCCATAAACGAGGCATTTGTTGCT